CTTAACCTCACCACCCACACATTTTACTACAACATTCCTTCCCCCACTCATTACTAAAATTGTTCTGATAAATTAGTGATCTCTTTCTCATCATTTTTTTTTTTTTTTTAGATTCATCATTACCTCATTTGTTTCCACTCTTCCCATCTTTGTAGTCACTTGACTCTACAGACCTCATCCTTCTACAAGGACTCGGGCCCACGTGACATCCTACACCATTTTCTTTCTTTTTTATTTTATTTTATTTATTTTACTTACTTACTTATTTATTTTTCCTTCTCCATTCTACACCATTTTCTCCTTTCATCTGTGACCTCTATGATCTACCTTCTTTAATGTCCTCTATTATTTACACTGTCAGGCCTCAGTTTAAAAAAACACATATTTTTTATTGATTTCAGAGAGAAAGGGAGGAAAAAGAGATAGAAACACCAATGATGAGAGAGATAGAAACAGAGATAGAAACACCACTGATTGCCTGCCTCCTGCAGAACCCTACTGAGGATCAAACCCGAAACCTGGGCATGTGCCCTTGACCGGAATCAAACCTGAACCCTTCAGTCCAAAGGCTGACACTCTATCCACTGAGTCATACCAGCTAGGGCTAAGGTGCAGTTTTTGCCTCTGTTCCACACTCTTCTCTGGGAGGACTCCTCCATTCTGTTTTAATAATCGGCTCCACACTGATGGCTCCCATACATTTCCCTACCTTTACCCCTCCTTTGTCTTCAGGTCTTTGACTGAGAAGTCCCATCCTCACCTATAACTCAGTACCACCCACTACTCAATAGTGCACCATCCTGTCTGCCAAATCAGCGCCTCTTCCCAACTTTCTTATTCCCAACACTCCTTCAGTCCCCCATGATGAAAAATGTCAAGTCTTTAAGTATTTCCTTAAATAACTCTGTCTCAGTCATACTTACAATTTCTTCAAAACATATCCCAGATATATTAGTCTTGTGTCATTTTCACCAATACATGGATTACTGCACTACTTTCATAGTTAGCAGCTATTAGTGTTGTATGTAGCAGCCATGTTAATTTTTGAAAAATGTTTGACGTCTGCTCAAAATCTTCAAAAGACACCTCATCTCCTATTGCCTCCTGACTAAAATCCAAGGTCATTCTTTCTCCTTACTGCCCTTTGCCTTCTCGACACCATATCATACCCCTTTCCAGACTCATTAGACCCTTATCTTTACTATGAACTCTCCCATCCTTTCTGTTTCAATGAAGCCTTCAGTAATAGATTATCATAACCCACACTGCTTTTCCTTTCTCTGAATTTTTAAAGCCAGAGGTAATGCTGGCTCTTGGGAGAGGGCTGGCAGGAAAAAGCCCTGATTTGAGGTGTTTGCCAATTACCTTCACCATAGCAGACTTCAAGCTACCAATGTGACATCATTGATTGGGATGAAATTGGAAAGAGATGTGCACAAAGCCATTAAGAAATGGCTCCAGGACTCCATAGAACTGAAAGCTGTTCTGTAACCAAAAACTTTATGTTGTTATGCACAACCTCTCCAGGTGTACTATTTAAGTACATCTGTTCATCACAATAAACTCTCTGTCCACTCATATTAGAGCTTTCATAGTGTACAGGGCACAAAGCATGCTTAAAGAGATGCAAAGCCAAAGACTGGAGTAGGAGAAATGGGCATGTACTCATTCAGGGTTGGTTAGCAAGAATAAGCAAAAAGAACAATAAATGTAGGAAATAAAATCAGAATGGGACTCAGGAGAAATATTGGTTACGTCCCACCTTTGTACTCATGTGACCCCTGACAAGTCAATTTACTTCTTGGGCCTTAAGTTCCTTCATCCTTACAATTAGGGGACCAGACTACAAGACTTCTAACTTGATTCAAATGCTCTGCGATGTGGATTAAACTGACAAGGAGACAGACTAAGGTCCATTGCATTGGTATAAAAGTGATAATAAATTCATTTTAAAATCCACTAGTAAGTCAAAGGCGTCATACTTTTCTAAGGTGTGAAGAAATATTCTTATAAGGCCTTTCCATTCCTTTGACCTAGTAATTATTCTGTAGAAAGATACAATGTCCTAAAGGTTATATCTATTTTATTCTACTTCTGGGAAAGGAGATGAGCAAGTTCCAAGATATTTCTGCAGCACGTTCCACAATACTTGCTAATGTTTCTCATAAAAAAAAAAAAAAAAAAAATCTATTACCTGTCTACTATGAGCTGGACACTGGTAAGTGGTGAAGATTTAGTAAAAACAAAACAATCTTTATCTTCATGAAACCCACACTAGTGTGGGTCAGTAGCTATTTAGTTCTAAATCATCTATATCAATACTTTTAAATATAAAGTGTACATATTGATCTGAATAATGGATGCAAGCTTTGGACTCTTCATAAACAGGTATGTAAACATAAACATTTTTTTTTTTTTTTTTAATATATATTTTATTGATTTTGTACAGAGAGGAAGGGAGAGAGATAGAGAGTTAGAAACATTGATGAGAGAGAGTCATCAATCAGCTGCCTCTTGCACACCCCCTACTGGGGATATGCCCGCAACCAAGGTACATGCCCTTGACCGGAATCGAACCCGGGACCCTTCAGTCCCCAAGCCGACGCTCTATCCATTGAGCCAAACCGGTCTCGGCAACATAAACATTTGAATAAAATTATATGATGTATAATTCCAGAGGTCCTCAGGACCTGTCATCTATGAAGTGGTCCAAGAATTGCAAGTTAACCCTGACCTATTGTATATCTACAAAACAACAAATAAATTCAAGCTCATAAAAGCTCATATTCTGTTTGATAAGGGAGTATAGCAAAGATTTCCAACAGAAACCATTAAAAATAAAGGGCCATTGTTTAAAGTATTCAACTGTGGCTATTTGAAATTTCATTCACCCAGAGCTGTGGCTGGCAAACTGCGGCTCATAAGCCACATGCGGCTCTTTGGCCCCTTAAGAGTGGCTTTTCAGCCGAAACCGGTTTGGCTCAGTGGTAGAGCGTCGGTCTGCAGACTGAAAGATCCCGGGTTCGATTCCTGTCAGGGGCATGTGCATTGGTTGCGGGCACATCCCCAGTAGGGGGTGTGCAAGAGGCAGCTGATGGATGGCTCTCTCATCGATGTTTCTAACTCTCTATCTCTCTCCCTTCCTCTCCGTAAAAACTCAATAAAATATATATTATAAAAAAAAAGAGTGGCTCTTCCACCAAAATACCATGGCCTTGGTGAGTGTATTTTGAGGAAGTGGCATTAGAAGTTTACCTTCATGAAAAATTTCTCTCTCAAAAGAAATTTCAATCATTGTACTGTTGATATTTGGCTCTGTTGACTAATGAGTTTGCCAACCACTGCCGTGGGGGGTGTCTGACAGCTTAGGCCCGCTCTTAAGCTGGTAGTCAGACATCCTTAGCACTGCCATGGAGGCGGGAGAGGCTCCTGCCACCGCAGCTGACCTTACCAACTGTGAGCCCAGCTCCTGGTAAGCTGCGCTCCCCCTGTGGGAATGCACTGACCACTAGGGGTCAGCTTCTGCATGGAGCATCTGCCCCCTGATGGTCAGTGCGCATCATAGGGACCCATAGTCCAGCGGTCGGTTGATTTGCATATTAGCCTTTTATTATATAGGCTAGCAAAGTACCTGCATATAACCTAATGCTGTAAAGCTTCTAGAATACTTATAATACCTATTACAAGGTAAATGCTATGCAAATAGCCATTATGCTATATTGTTTAGGAAACAATGACAAGAAAAAAAGTGTACATGTTCGGTAGAGTTGCAGCCATCATAGATCTAATTGCATAATTCATCTCAGCAACAAGGTAACTTTTTTTTTTTTTTTTTTTAGTATTTTTGAATGGTGCTTGGTTGAGTCCTTGGATAGGAGCTCAGGCTGTACATTACTTGGTTCAGGATGCTTATTACATCAGTCTTCTTACTTGAAAACCCAATTGCATATGGATGTGTGCTTCCTTTTCATAAGTAATCTTGCATTTCATGACTCATTGCACATCAAAAAGATCCAATTAGCCACGACAAATACATATACACACATTGTGAACAGGCAATTTGAACAAGTCAAAGAGCACAAGTTCTGGAACTAGAGGGCAGGCTCATGTCCTGGCTCTAACATTGTGAAGGGAAGAGATCTTGGACAAGTCATTTAGCCCTCCGAGCTACGTTTCTTCACTTGTATTATAAAATGTAGAGGGAACGCTAAAACTTACCTAAGAAGGCTTACTATGAAAAAAATCAGTCATGTAAAATAACGTAGGTGAATATATTTAGCTATAAAATGGCCCCTCATAAGTAAAAGTTCTACTGGTTCCCCAAAGAGGCAAATTAAGCTTTGAATCCAAATGCCCATTATACAAATTTCTACTAGGAAAACGAACTGCAGGTCCTGCATTTACATTGCATTAAAAGAAGTTCAAAGCACTTAACTGTAAATTAAAAAAAAAAAATGCAGCCCTCATTTTAAGAAAACTGTGAAATCTTAAACCCGTTGCCTCATCAGACACTTAAGTGGGTAGGCAACTCCAGACTACAGGTTTTCTCTGACAGCAAGGATCAGCTCGAGATGGGGGACGGAGGAGACTCAAGACTCAAGCAGAGCAACGGAGGTCAGGGAGAGAGATTGGCCTGAAAAGTGTGGAATGAATCAGGCAAGGAGGGAGTTCTAGAGACGGCGGTGACCTGAGCTCCGAGGAGGCTGGTGACAGGAGGTGGGAAGACAGGGGGTACAGGGGGAACAGGGCTCCTACAGTTGGTGGGCGCGGTGGATGGAGAGCCAGGTGGCGAGCGTCACACCGGGCCAGCCCCCAGGGTCGGCTCGGCAACTGTTCGCTCCCGCTCTTACTGCCGGGCGTGCGGGGAGAATCCCGAGCAACCGGAGGGGAGTGCGTGGCGGCACCAAACCACTGCCAGGCCTGGGGAGGCTGCAGGATTCCTCCAACCCCAGCGGCCACGCTGGCTTCCCGCCCTCCCTCAGCCCGTCCCCGCGTCTCACCCGCCGCCAGGCGCAGGCCGCGGAGGCTCCCCATGGCCGCCCACTCCGCTGACCGGCTGCGCGCCCCGGGGAAGGCGTAGGCGCGGGAGCATTCAATGTCACAGAATGACGCCAAGAGGACGCCGGCGCCGGCGGATGGCGGGGCGTGTGGGACGTAAGGGCGGAGCGAGAGGGTCGTGCGTGACGTAGCACGTCGGTGGGCGGGGCTGACGGGCGCGGTGGGCGGGGCTGACGGCGCGACTTGGGTTGCTGCCTGGGACGTGGGTGACGTGCAGAATGTGCGAGCGGCGTGTCCAGCGGGTTCTCCCTCGCTTGGCGTCTTCCCCGCGTCCTTAAAATGTTCTTGTAAAGGATGGGCATCGCGGGCTTTTGCAATATTATCCTTTGCATCTTAAGAAAGTACTCTCTTAAAATAGAAGAAAAGTAGTGCGCTCATTCATTGCAGAACTTTTGCGAACTGTGCACCCCCCGAAATCACGCTGCCTAGGTAAATCAGCATTTCAGTACACGGTCGTAGCAAGTATTTTCAATGAGTCACGCTTTTGTCAAAAACACGGTAGCTGGGGCTCAGTGGCCCCCATACCCTGTTGGCTTTGGGAGGCTAATTGAAAAATTAACATGTCTATTTCCTATTTATTTACCTAACACCGAACACCTTAACAACCCTTATGCATTGTGTCAGAAATGTCTTTTCTTGACATTTGTTATAGATCCCAAATTCTTAACAAACAAAGCCCCCCTCTTGTCTTTAGGGACGGGAGATAGATATTGGAGTGGGAGGGTTAAGAAAAGCCACTTCTACTCCAGGTTTCCTCCTCGAAGGATCTGGTTGGTGACACTAGGAAATCGTTTTTCCTTTTTATAAGAAAATGGGATTTGGGTAAAACAGTTCCTTCAAGTTCTGACATTCCTCGATCCATGCATAGGGGTCATTTCTAGGAGGACATGGCCAAGTTGCGATGAAAGTGAGCTGTCAAAGGCGTAAAAGTGAAAAGGACTGCAAAGTTCCAGGTTTCTAAGCGAATAAGGACCAGGGAAAAGACTAATAATGTTCAGCTATCTTTCTCGCCGATTTCCCTTGAAATATTTTGTCAGGCGCTGCCGCGGGCACCTTTGCTCCGCGGTGATTGGCTCCCGGCCGGGGCCTCACGTTTGTCCAATATGGCGGCGCCCAGTGGCGGTGTGAACTGTGAAGAGTTCGCCGAGTTCCAGGTGATGGGGTTTTTCCCAGTGTCTGGTGTGTCCTTTCTTTTACCCCCGGACCCTGTACCCTCCTCTGGCCTAGGAGAGAATGCGGATAAGTTATGGAAGAAGCGGGCGATTCGAGGCTCTTTTTTTCCGAGCCATTGGAGGTCATGGGGGCGCGGGGTTGGCCTTAGAGAGCCAGGCTGCTCCTTGGGGGTCATGGTTCTCCCCGCGCCGCCCAGGCCTTGAGCAACCGCACGGGACACTCCGGGTGGTTGCGCGGTGGTAAAGCCGCGCTTGGGCTCCGTGGGTAGGGATTGTAACAATCTTTTAGCCACCCACCCAAATCTGCCTAGCCTGTACCATTCTCGAATTTTAAGTGGAGCCTTTGTAGGAGATTTTTTAAAAAGTGAATGAGAGCTTACTCATTTGATAAACCAACGGGGCACAAGTTTTATTGTTTTGGTGGGGTATAATATTTGGGGTCTTGGAAGAGCGATTAATTCTAGTACCTGCCCTGGTGCTGCTGCCTTTCTAAGCATTAGAGAGAATGTAACATTTAAGAAAAATGCTCTATCTTTTATATATTCAAGCACCAGAGGTCTAGGGTTAAATATTAACCCGTGGATTAGAGAACCGGGTTTTGGGTTTTGACCGAGTTGCAGTGAAAATTATCTGTTTCAACGTGGGCACAAATGTGCTGCTGTCTAGATTACAAATGTATTTAAAAATATTTTTTTATTTCAGAGAAAGAGAGAGAAAGACAGAGATGGAAATATTACTGATGAGAATCATTGATCAGCTGCCTGCTGCACACCCCCCACTGGGGACCAAGCCTGTAACCAAGGCATGTCCTCATCACCAGAATCCAACCCAGCACCCCTTAGTCTGCAGGCCCACGTTCTATCCACTGAGCCAAACCAGCTAGAGCTACAAATGTATTTTTAACTAAAGATATTGAAAAATTATTTCACATGTCATTGACTTATCTGTAGTAAGCTTTGTGCTTTGAGCCATTTTGTAGGGAGTGGTATTCTTGAAGATAACTTCAACAGACTGAATTCTTTGACAAATGATTTGGCAAAGGACCTTATGTGGGGTCTTTTTGTATATGAGGTCATTACTTGCACCCTCTTCACCACTTCAGTTGCTTTTCAGACTAGCTCAACACAGCAGTTGACTTCAAATATGATTCATATGCCCAACAAATGCAAACATTTATAAAAATCTTAAGTAGGGCCAAAACCGGTTTGGCTCAGTGAGTAGAGCATCGGCCTGTGGACTGAAAGGTCCCGGGTTCGATTCTGGTCAAGGCTCGACCGGATGTACCTTGACTGCGGGCACATCCCCAGTACGGGCGTGTGCAAGAGGCAAGAGGCAAGAGGCAGCTGATCCATGATTCTCTCTTTATCCCTCTCTATTCTCTCTGTAAAAAGTTAATAATATGTGTATATATATATATATATATTAAAAATCTTAAGTAGGAAAAAAAGACTTGAATTCTAAAGTATAAGGACTATTTAAGGTTTACACCATTTGTTGCCTTGGTCTTGTCACATTAATACTGTGATTTAACTTGAGTCAGTACACTCAGATAACTGTGTAATAATAGTCTTAAGGTTTATGAGAAAGAGTATTGGTTAGTGATTTAGATATTCTGGGTTTTAGTACTGCTTCTGCCATTCTATTAGCTTTAGGATCTTGAGTTAATCACTTAACTCCTTTGGCAATTAACTTTTGAGTCTGTAAAATAAGATTATGTTAAGTAATATATAAAACTTCTTCAATTTCTATAATGTTATTTGAATCTCTAAAACCAAATTTCAGAGGATCTCTTTTTGCTGTTAAAACACTGATTATCCTTTTGGAAGGTCAGATAAAATGTTATAAGTGGGCCGAAACCGGTTTGGCTCAATGGATAGAGCGTCGGCTTGGGGACTGAAAGGTCCCGGGTTCGATTCTGGTCAAGGGCATGTACCTTGGTTGTGGGCATATCCCCAGTAGGAGGTGTGCAAGAGGCAGCTGATCGATGACTCTCTCATCCATGTTTCTAACTCTCTATCTCTCTCCCTTCCTCTCTGTACAAAATCAATAAAATATATATTTTAAAAAATGTTGTAAGTGGGACAAAAGCTAAACTGTCGTGCAGAGCCATTCCATTCAGAGAAAAAAAATAATAAAATAAGTAATTAGTGATACCTAGGAGAAGTTTCTAAATATTTTCTCTAGGACTTTTCCAAGTACATGGTGTATAGTGGAGAATATCCTGGGCTAAAAGTCAGAAGAAGAACTGCTTTTCCAGAGCTGGCCTTGCACATCATTTAACCTCATTGTAAACAAGAATAACATTTGTCCCTATTGCCTTGCACACAGAAACTTAAAGGAAGGTGCTGTAAAACTATAAAGTTTTGGTATAGCATTTAGGTTTTCAGTGATTCTAAAGCTATCTAATGCCGTGACCCTTTAATACAGTACCTCATGTTGTGGTGACCCCCAACCATAAAATTATTTTTGTTGCTACTTCATAACTGTAATTTTGCCACTGTTATGAATCATAAATATCTGTTTCGCAATGGTCTGTTGTGACCCACGGGTTGAGAACCGCTAGCAAGGTCACCTAAAACCATCGGAAAACAGATATTTACATTACGACTCATTAACAGTAGCAAAATTACAGTTATGAAGTAGCAACGAAAATAATTTTATGGTTGGGGGTCACCACAACATGAGAAACTGTATTAAAGAGTCACGGCATTAGAAAGGTTGAGAACCACTGGTTTATTTTTATTTTTAAAATATATTTTATTGATTTTTTTACAGAGAGGAAGGGAGAGGGATAGAAAGCCAGAAACATCTATGAGAGAGAAACATCAATCAGCTGCCTTCTGTACAGCTCCCACTGAGGGTGTGCCCACAACCAATGTATGTGCCCTTGACCGGAATCGAACCCGGGACCCTTCAGTCTGTAGGCCAACGCTCTATCCACTGAGCCAAACCGGCTTCACTGGTTTAGATGAATTTAACTGGCATACTCTCAAATTACTAAGCAGTTTAAATTTTTTAAAGCTATGGAATCATTATATTTATGTGTAAGTATCCTAAATGTGAAAAGCACTGCACTGAACACTGTCAAAGAGAAACAAGTCACGAATATTTTGTGTGTGTGTTTCTTTTGATATTTTTCCTTTTATTTTCTTATTTTTTTGTATATATTTTTGTTGTTCTTGTTAATTGTAAATGAATTTTTTTCCATTGATTTATTTTTTTGAGAGAGTGGAAGAAAGAGAGGGAGAGAGAGAGAGAGAAACGTCCATGTGACAGAGATACATTGATTGGTTTGCCTCTCTCACACATCCTGAATCCAACCTGAGACCCTTTGGTTTTGGGGCTGATGCTCTAACCACTATAAAGATTAGTTGTATTTTTTCAGAATTTTATTATGAAAATATTCAAACACTACAAAAAGTTGAAAGAATTGTACAGTGAACACTGGTACCTACCATCTAAATTCTTTAACCAATGATTTTCTGTATTTATCAAATAGCAATCTCTCTATCCATCAATTTACCTTTTAAAAAAAATTTATATATATTATTGATTTCAGGGAGGAAGGGAGAGGGAGAGAGAGATAGAAACATCAGTGATAAGAGAGAATCATTGATTGGCTGCCTCCTGCACGCCCTCTACCGGGGATCAAACCCAGGACCTTTCATCTGCAGGCAAATGCTTTAGCCACTGGACTGTTAAATGAGTTTTGACAGAAATTTTCTTCATGCCCTTTCTAGTCAGTCTTTGACCCACCCTTCTTCCCTCTGACAACTAGTGTTCTGTTTTGTTTTTTTTCCATATAGGTGCATGTTTTTATTTATTATTATTTTTATTGAGTTGAGAGAGAGAGAGAAACAATGATTTTGTTGTTCTACTTATTCATGCATTCATTGGTTGATTCTTTTATGTGCCCTAACCAGGGATTGAATCTGAAATTTTGGCTCAGTGGTCGACGCTCTAACCAACTGAGCTACCCGGCCAGGATATAGGTATAAAGTTTAAGAGTTTTAAAAGTGTTTTAAATTTTTACAATTTTAATTTTTCTACTAGAGGGCTGGTGCACAGATTTGTGCACTGATGGGGTCCCTCGGCCTGGCCCTTGGGCATTGGCTGAAACCAGCTGTTCAACATCCCCTTGAGGGATCTCAGATTGCGAAAGGGTACAGCATATAAGATCTTTGGTTAATCTCTTCCCACTCTCTCCCCTCCTCTCTTCCCTCTGAGATTCATCAGTCTGTTACATGTTTTCATGCCTCTGGTTTCTACTCCTGCATTGAGTGTCTGCCACTGGTGGTCAGTGTGCATCATAGTTACCAGTAGGCCAGTTGCTTAGGCTTTTATATATATAGATTATAGAAGTTGGACTTTGCATTCCTGGAAAATATCCTATTTGCAAAATGAAGTAAAATCCAGAAAAGAGTCTGACTGACATGGCTCACTGGTTGAGCATCAACCTATGAGCCAGGAACTCATAGTTTCATTCCCAGTCAGGACATATGCCTAGGTTTTGGGCTTGATCCCCAGTATGGGGGATGCAGGAGGCAGCCGATCAATGATTCATTATTGATGTTTCTATCTTTCCCTTCCTCTCTGAAATCAGTTTAAAAATATATTTTTTAAAAATCCTGAAATTAGCCCAAACCGGTTTGGCTCAATGGATAGAGCGTCGGCTTGGGGACTGAAGGGACCCGGGTTTGATTCCGGTCAAGGGCATGTACCTTGGTTGCGGGCATATCCCCAGTGGGGGGTGTGCAAGAGGCAGCTGATCAATGACTCTCTCTCATTGATTTTTCTAGCTCTCTATCTCTCACCCTTCCTCTCTGTACAAAAACAATAAAATATATTTTTTAAAAAAGGTGGGGGGGAGGGGCCATGTACCTTGGTTGCGGGCACATCCCCAATAGGGGGTGTGCAGAAGGCAGCTGATCGATGTTTCTTTCTCATCGATGTTTCTAACTACATATCCCTTTTTCTCCCTTCCTCTCTGTAAAAAATCAATAAAATATATATTTTTAAAAATCCTGAAATTAATGTTTGAAATTGAATGTCTGGGATCCCATTTTAAGATTCAGCAAGAATTTATTGAATATTGTATTAGTCTGCTAGGGCAGCCATGATAGATACCACAAATGGTGGCTTAAATACAACAGAAATGTATTTTTTTTCACAGTTCTGGAAGCTAGACGTCCAAGATCAAAGTCCTGTCAGGATTGGTTTCTGGTGAGCCTCTCTTCCTGGCTTGCAGATTGCCACCTTCTCACTGCATTCTCTCAAGGCCTCTTTGTGCATGTAGTGGGAGAAAGATCTCTGGTGTCTCTTTCTCACAAGGACACCAGGTCTATGGGATTAGCACCCTACCTTACTACTTTAAAGGCTTTATCTCCAGATATAGTCACAGAAATCTTGGGAGGGCACAGTGCAGTTCAAAACAGTTATGGCTAAGTACCAGGCACTTGGGAAGATCCAGTGGACTGGGTATAAAATGTAGAAAATATTGAGAATATAAATAAAATGCTATAACATTTCAGAGAAAAATAACTCAAGAGATGGTAATTGAGTTGGGCCTTGCCCAGCTGGTGTGTCTTAGGGTTGAGTATTGACCCTTGAGCCAGGAGGTCATAGTCCTATTTCCATTCAGGTTGCTGACTCGGTCCTCAGTAGTGGGTGTGCAGGCAGCAGCCAATCAATTCTCCTTTCCTCTCTCTAAAATCAATTACAAATAAATAAATGAGCTGGGCCTTAAGTGAATAGGATCAGGGCTATTTTCAATAGAAAAAACATAGTATATAAGGTAATTTTATATCTTTGGGGAAATAGCCAATCAATATTGCTGGATTTACACAAAAGATTAGAACCAGGTTGTGAAGGCCTTGGATTCCAAGTGTGAGATTAAGGAGCCAATTTTGAGCAGCGGGTGTAATATGATCAAGTGTTTTAGGAAGATTCCTCACTGTGTCATGGTCTTTGTTCAGGCTCTGTTATTTTTCAACTAGTTTTGTGATAGATCTCCTTATTTTCAGTTATTCCTTTCTCTAATATATATCTTTTTCAATCTAATCTCCATAATATGGCTTTATACTGTTACCTTCGAAATTTTACAGTCTGAATTTTAGGCTTGTATTACTAGATCTAAAATACTTAACATGGCATTCAATCCCAAAGTGCCTCTCTCTAGTTATATCTTTTACCACTGTCCTTATTCATGCATGTTTCTCTCCCCCAAACCTTACCTCCTCCAATGTACATTTGATCTCTGTTGTCCAACTACTTAGACCTACTTTTCTCTGAACACATTATGCTCTTTGTTATTTCCATGTGTATTTTTTTTTTAATTGTGGCTACCCTGAAATCTTTTTTTTCCTGACTCTGTCTGAGATCTAATTCATATATCACCTGAACAAAACCAACTCAATATCCCTCCCCAGAGTATTTGTCTTAGTATTTCTATTAGGAATATTTATTCATTTATACACAGTTCATTTTGAACTGGGTACCACCATCTTATATGATAATTAGGTACAAACTAAATAGACTGTTGTCTAGCATTAGTTATGGTTCCTCTTGCAACATGCCCAGATGCTCTCTGTCCCTGTGCCTGGGGGTGCTGGGTGTCAGAGGACTCTGACAGTTGTAGGCAAGTCTTTGTTTTCTGGCTTAGGGGAACAGTGTGAGTACTGCTGGGAAAATGGAGTTTGAGGAACCAGTTCTGTCTAAAAAATGTACATGGGATCTACTGGGTGCCTACCCGCAGCGGGTGTGGAGAGGAAAGGATAAATCTGAGATTATTTTTTTTGAATACATTTGTATTTTACTGACCTGTAATAGACCTTTTCCCACCTCCACCACCCATAAACCCTAAAGCTGCTCAAAATAATAAAAGGAATTTATCGGAGGGTTAACCTTAGAAATCCTATCTAACGAAGAGGGAATATGCTAATTGACACTCATGCCGTCACAAAGATGGCAGTGCCCATAGCCAATAAGGAGGGAACATGCTAATTGACTGCTCCGCCCTCAAAGATGGTGGTACCCAGTTCCCCTAGCCCCGCCGGGGCAGCAAGCACATGGCAAAGCCGGGCCTGCCCACTTCGTGCCTGCCTCTGGAGTCCCCCAGTCCCCTCAGCCCTCCAGCTGCTCAGACCAAGCCTGAGGTACAAGCAGCCTTAGATGCTACCAGAACCACTATTGTCCAGGGCCAGCCTGAGGCTCCACGCCTGCCTCCGGGGTCCTCCAGACCCCAGTCCCCCAGTCCTCCAGCTGCTCAGGCCACCTGAGGCTTGTGCTGCTGGCAGCGGCAGCAGCAGAGGTGTGATGGGGCATTGCCTTCCCCTAATTGCTGGATCCCCTTCCGCTCCTGAGGGCTCCCAGACTGTGAGAAGGGGGCAGGCCGGGCTGAAGGATCCCTCCCCCTCCAGTGCATGAATTTTCATGAACTGGGCCTCTAGTTCTATATAATTCTATATACTAAAAGAGAAATATGTAAATTGACTGAACCTCTGTTATGCTCACCTGCCAATCAGGAGTGTGTATGCAAATTAACCCAACAAATATGGTGGATTAATTTGCATACACAGGCACAGTGTGGAGAGCAGAGCTGGAGAGCCAGCAGAGAATGTAGCAGCTTGGGAACTTGGCTCCCCAAGCCTCCAGACGGAGAGCAGAGAGATAGAGCTGGTGGTTTGGAGGACTTGGCAGAGCGGGAAGCCATGGGACAGAGACAGAGCAGGAAGGGAAAACCCATAGCACAGGAGCATCAGGAATGCTGGGAGTAGTAAGTCTGGTGGCAGGTAGATCTCCTAGACAGTAGAGCAGAGTGAGCCTGGAGCAAGTTACTGTTGCTGTGGGTATGGAGGGAAAGCACAGATGAGAGACAGAAGTAAAATCAGAATGTCAAGGAAAAGTTAAAGCAAAGATATTCTAAAACTTTGAGGAAATCTTCACCGATGAAGCAAAGTAAAAAAACACCTCTATTGTTCTGTGAGCTACAAACCAAACTGAGTTGGGGTCTCAGACAATTCACTCATATAATTGCAAAGACAAAAACTCCCAGATTGGAGATGGTACAGGTCAGTCTGAGGGACCCGCCCCCCATGCATGAATCTTTGTGCACCAGACCAGAGAGGCAATACACACTTACTCTTTCCTACTATGAAATATGGGCACTCTTTCAGTACTGAAATTGAGATTTTTATCCCACAATTACAGATAAGACAGAAAATGAAATTCCAAGATAAAGTACATAAATAATTTTAAAGAGTCAGTCTAAAATTAGAGATTCATGCTATATTAGAATCTCTTCTTGTTTTGAGGAAGGAAGATAGGAGAAGGTAGAGGCACTATAAAATTTGAAGAGTTCTCTTTGTTATGCTTTGACATTTTGAAGCTGATCTGGATTCCAGGTTCTACATAAAGATGTAGCCTTCAGAGAAGTGTGTGTATTTCTGTATTTCTGTGAACTTCAGTTGCAGTTTATTGTGTACTAGAGGCCTGGTGCATGAAATTCATGCATGGGGGTGTGTGTCCTTCAGCTTAGTCTGCAACCTTTCCAATCTGGGACCCCTTGAGGGATTTCCGACTTTCTGTTTAGGCTCGATCCTGGTAGACCTAAACGGGAAGTCAGACATGCCTCTCACAATCCAGGATTGCTGGCACCCAACTGCTCTCCTGCCTGCCTTCCTGATTGTCCCTAACTGCTTCTGCCTGCCAGCCTGATCACCCCCTAACCACTCCCCTGCCAGCCTGATTGATACCTAACTGCTCCCCTGCCAGCCTGTTTGCCCCCAACTTCCCTCCTCTGATGGCCTGGTTACCCCTAACTGCCTTCCCCTGCAGGCCTGCTCCCCCCCCCCCCCAAATGCTCTCCTTGGCAAGCTTGGGTTCCCCTGACCCCAACTGCCCTTCCCTGCAGGCCTGGTCACCCACAACTTCCCTCCTCTGCCAGCTTGGTCACCCCTAACTGCCCTCCCCTGCAGGCTTGATTGCCCCCAACTACCCTCTTCCTTGCAGGCCTGGTCCCTCCCACTGCTCTCCCCTGCTGGCCTTACCGCCCCCAACTGCCCTCCCTTGCAGGCCTGGTCTCTCCCAACTGCCCTCTCCTGCTGGCCATCTTGTGGTAGCCATCTTGTGTCCAAATGGGGGCAGGATCTTTGACCACATGGAGGCAGCCATCTTGTGTATGGAGTGATGGTCAAGCTGCATATTACTCTTTTATTAGATAGGATAGAGGCCTAGTGCACAGGTGGGGCCAGCTGGTTTGCCCTGAATGATGTCCTGCATCAGGGTGGGAGTTCCCTTGGGGCCTAGGGCAGCCTGGGCGAGGGTCCTGTGGTGGTTTGCAGGCCAGCCATGACCCCCGGTGACCCAAGTGGAGGCCCTTGTATCTGAGGTTTATTTATTTTCTGTAATTGAAACTTTATAGCCTTGAGCAGAACCAAGCCTCCTGCTTGTTCTGTGGCCGCAGCCATTTTTGTTGGGATTTATTTATCTTCTATTATTGAAACTTTGTAGCCTTGCGTGGAGGCATGGGCCTACCAGGGTGTGTGGAAAGCTTGGCTTCCTCCATTGCCGGGGAAACACAACCTCCTGCTCACTCTGTGGCTGCCGTCATCTTGGTTGGGTTATTTGCATACTCGATTCTGATTGACAAGTGGGTGTGGTTTGTAGGTGTAGCAGAGTGATGGTTAATTTGCATATTACTCTTTTATTAGTTAGGATAAGCTGCCAAGGACATTTTCTGTATATTTTCTTGGTTGAATTTGTGAGAGGGTATGCTATTAGGGCTAGGCATCAGATAGATAGTCAGTAATCCTTCATGAATGAGACACATTAAATGGCAGTACTTTTGTACCTACATTAACATTCCAGTTGCTATTAATCTGTGAGGGCTGCCCAGGCTTTCTTCTAGACCACATGTGTCAAACACAAGGCCCGCGGGCCAAATCCGTCCCGCCAGGCCTTGCAATGTGTCCCGCACCGCGCTGTCATCACTGCACTCCGCTGCGTTTCCATCACAATGACAGTTTATGACTGTTCAGTAAACCATTCGGCCCGCGATTTAGGCTGGATTTTAGATTTTGGCCCCTTCTCTGATTGAGTTCGACACCCCTATTCTAGACCAACAATTTACAACTGGTGTGCTGCAAGAATTTTTAAAACATGAAATACCTGACTATTTAGTCAGGGGTACTGACCTCTTTTCCCTTAGGTTGCCAAATAAAAAA